AATTTTCTCTTCTTGTAGGATGTTTCAAGGCATCCAACAAGTGCATTGAAGTGTCAATCGAGAAAAAATTGTTCCATTCGCGCCATTATCAGGAGCATTCGGAAGACAGGCAAGATCCAGTAATGGGTGGATAACTAAGGTCTTGATCTTATGCTCTAAATGATGGGATTGATGTCAGTCTGGGTTAGCCTTTTATTGGTGGATATTGGTTACCAGGTTGGATACGTGAACGTTTCAACTTGGAGACGAAGTAGTCTACGTTAGAGGCAACTGTCTCGGTTGGCCATGTCACTATCACTACGGTGTCGTTATTCTTGAAGAATCGATCCAATGCACACCCATATCGCCCAGTAACACGGAACTTGAGGTCACCACGCTTAGCTGTACAGATCCCGCTTGGTTGCTATTCATAAGGAACGTGGTGTATACAAAGGCTCCCATGCCATTGGTCGCATCTTTCCCAGCTATTATAGGCCCCTTTGCCACAGCGGATATATTACCGAGCAGCAAGACCACTTTGAAATTCAATATACCGCGCCATCTGGCGGTTAGATGTACACTTCTTGCCTTGATTATCCGGTACTAGAGCACTACGGTTAGCAGGTCGGATAAATGTCCGACCTTCAGTCTGGCCCGGCCACTGTTCAGTGTTTGAGGTTGATCTGATGAAGCCATGCGGACCTCCTCAGTAATAACGAATACACTGAAGGCCATGTCTAATCCACTCGTTTGCTTTGATCCCATGTGCTACGGATGTAGCTCACTGATCAGTCCAGCTAAACCCAGCCCTACCGAACTAAAGCAGATGTTCTCGTCGGAGGATCACTTTCTCCACCTTGTAACGCACCACTGATGAACAGAAGATTGCAAAGGATGATCAAAGTCTGAATATTCTCTGGTGAAAATTCCAGTCATTTGAATTACCTGTTGCCCATGCTACCCACTGATTAGCTGGAAACCAAGCAACAATCACAAAGAACACAAGATTATTATCTAAAACTTCCTACTGTCTTCATCGAATGCGCATTTTTGCCATATGAACCCATACATCCCTCATAGGATGTGACGAGGCAATCGATTGAGTTCAACAGTTGCGACTGATACTGCGTGGATTTGGTGAATATCTTCTGTACCAGATGGTTAACCTTTGATCAGTATCTTACCAACCAGAGTATATTCATACTGGTTGGTGTGTTTATGGTGTGAAGACTAGCAACGAAGTCCATCCTCTTGAAAATGTGGCTGTTTTCCAACGAGATACCAACTGACTGACTGTGAATTCGGCGATGCCCTCCACTTGTCTGGTAAAGTGCAGGTTGCAAAATTTCAAGTGTGGATCAAATACTTTGCGTAGCAAAAGGGAGCGCTATATGAATACACTTGTGAGCTTGCCTCTAAAACCATGGAGCTTACAGTTCTGTTAATGGTCTCAGTACTTTTCGTGCTCCAAACGCTAAGATACCTCTCTCAGAAATGGTACATTACGGTTTATGGAAATTACGGACGCTTATTTGCTTATCAGGAAATTATGCAACACCGAAGATGACAAAAAAATGAAATGTTGGAAACTCAGCACAAACGGTCCTGTGTCCCTATATAAAACCAGCAGGATCAAGCTGTCTACGTACTGCGATCTCAACGGGATGAAAGCCGTGGATTGAAGGTCAAAGAAAAACGCTATCAGTGAGGCTTAGCCAGGTTATTTTGTGTAACACACTCAATTCATACCTAGCGTACACTGCCTTCTTGCCGCGTTCTATCACCTTTCCCAGCACGGAGCGGCGGGACAAT